CTCTTTTTGGCTCTGAGATCCAACTTTAAGATCGGACTTCGGAGATCCTCGCGTCGGAAATCATGTAAGTGTAACATCAGTACCGGAGATCAGACTTTTTTGCTTGATATTGGACCTTTAAATCTAATTATATATTCGAAACAGCACGGGAATTAAACAGGAATTAAATTAAACAGGAATTAAACATGCACGGGATGTAACCAAGGTTAAGTGAGATGAGATATACCAGCTTTCGGGGTTACAAAACCCCATGAAAGGCAGGCATAGCATCCTAAATCCTCAAGCTATCCTCACGTTGACCATTTAGGTCCAGACTCCAGCCTCTCATTAAAAACCAGCTATTAGGCCCGAGATCCGTCCCTTGTCCTGTAGTGTCCCGTCAGTAAGAGATCGTTGAGATTTTGATCCCCTCCCCGCTCTAAAGTCCACTTTACCCAAAGCTGGAAAAATTTCACATGTGAAACCTCATAGCTAAATCAGCATCTCGAGACCTTCTATTATACAGGGTGGGCCAAAAGTCAGTACCCATACGTTGGGTCTTATACCTCCGCCGTGTTTTATATTTTAGAGTTGTTGCTTTGCAGATGGCATACTGTACCTACTTGTTCGAGGATATATATATATATATAGCCCATGCCCCAGATAAGATCTTGAGGCAGCTCACAGCTATAATAATAGAAGAACTAGCCAGTCACCACTTGATTAAAAAACGAGGGAATGACACGCAATATCATTATCATACGATGGGAAAATCTATGCGACTGAAAAAAAGAATATGTGGTCATTCTGAAGTGGGAACCAAACCATTGCGGTATTATAGGAAATTAGCTAAATTTAACTGCAGCCAACAGATCTCAATCCAGGGATTACAGACCAATATTGGTCGAGGCAGCGAAATCAATCATAATTATAAAGTGGGGTACTGGTCAGCGGTCAAGCAACAGTCTGGCCCGAATCCAGTGCCGATTTATTTTAGGCCCGGTATTCTTGGTACATATATCATGGTTTCATGGCACGAATAAATAAAAAGTTTGAAGTTGAATTTTTGGTTTGGCACACATTCTATTTAAATCATGGTGCCAATGAAAATTAATTGTTGGAGTTTTCACAAATCATGCAGTAGTTAAACTTATTTACTGATGACTCCTAAAGTGAGCGTTTTTCAGTATAACTATATGAGGTGCATGAGTCGGCAATTGCGAACAATTTGTAACAATCAATAAAGTAGATCATTCTCCAATTTTTGTAGGAGTTTCTGGACACAAAGTGAGTCATCTTACATCTTGTGAAAAATGTTGCTCATGAGTCTTTAAGACCTTTCTAGTTAACAGTCCAATAGCCCATTTGTGAATATTGTCATTTTTTCGCTCGGCAAAAATCCGTTTTTCAGCCACATTTCCGAAAATAAGCCTTTTAGGGTATATGTTGCTTCATAAGTTGTATATCAATGTGGCCATTATGTACATTTTGGTGTATCAGAATAGTCTCTACGACCTTCCTAGGCGGAAATGCCAAAAATCACGGAAATTATGAACTGCGTCAAGCCAAAAACCGTTTTTCGGCCATATTTCCGAAACAAAGCATTTTAAGGTATATGTTGCTTCATAAGTTGTATATAAATGTGGCTATTAGGCACATTTTGGTGTATCGGAATAGTCTTTAAGACCTTCCTGGGCTGAAATAAAAAAATTCGACTGACCGCAAAACCCTGAAAAAGGGTGTGGCCGAAAACGCCACTATTGCATTTTTTTCAAAAATGCAATAGTGTCCAAATGTTTTAAGAATCATCTAGAGAGGTGATAACCGTTGAGAAATCGCTTTTAACACGAAAAGCTAACGAGATAGCCTTTTAGAACGGTTGGGATCCGACTACTTATAGGATTTGGTTCTTGAGTTCATAATTTTAATCATCTCAAGTGAACCAAGTAATTTGCTATATTATAGCTTTATAGTAGTGTTGAAAAAGCGCTAAAAAACACCGCTTATAATCTTTTTTTAAGCGATTATAACAGATTTAGCTCTGAAATGACTCCAAGTATTGATGCGAACCGTATATTAGGTCCCGCAGATAGCGTTGTTAGACTTTGACCTGTTCATTTAAAAACCATTTGATCGAAAACTTTAGAACATCTCAGATGTTTTAATGTAATGTTCTGTCGGCGCCTGTGTTTCAAAATCTGATCCTTGGCTGCAAATATCCCTCAGTTACATTTTGAACGTTCCCTCAAAAACATATGCATCAGCTGTTATTTGTATAGATGAATCACAAAGTCACAACATGCCTATGATAGGTACTAGCTAATTAATAGTTGTGTTTATTTGCAGCTGCAACAGGAAATAAAGGCCGCGTGTCATACTGTCACAGTGTCTAGAAGTAGCAGTGTTACATGGTACACTACTCGTTAATTTGACAGACTTTGTGTAATTCGTAGAGCTCTTATTTTGTGCTTATGCAGTTACATCTCAGTGTGGTATACAAGTACTACTATACAGTTGTACTACTTTACAGTTGTGATCCTAAATAACAGTTTGCTATATCGAGTGAACGTGTTCAAGTCGAACTAAGCATGCTCAGATACTCTTATTATCTAATTGTTCCAGTCTAGAAGAATAAAATAAGTAAGACAGTGTCTATTGATTTGACGATAAGTAAGCGTGAAAGGCCAGGTAAAGATTATTTGTATGGTTTTTTATCTCCCCCATTGTATTTGTTTTTCTTGTAGTTGTGGCTGTATTCGATGCGGAAAACAACCAGTCAATTAGCTCGCAGTACGTATTTGGAGCACATATAAGCTAATGAATTAAATCTATTTCAATTGATTGTTACCATTACCAATTACTTTTCCTGAACTCCTGACCATCTCCACAACTAGCCTGGTATGTGTATTGAGAAGCAGTTTGCAGTAGTTGTTGTAGTTATACCCCAGTGTATTCAATTTGTATTGGTTTACAGTTATGATGGTATAAAACATGTAAAATATAATGTGGGGTGCAGCACCCGACTACCATTAGCTGCTACAGAGGTAATTGATATTTTATCTCTATATACTTACATAATAAAAATTGAATAATCCAAAACCAAAAAGGTCCTCTCTTAGAAAGTGCAGGTATTTTACTCAACTTTAAATTTAGCATCATAGCATGTTTTTTAAATTTCACTCGTAGAATTGCACTCAAATAATTGCACTGTGCATCTACTCATAACAATATTTCATGAAACTTCAACTCCAATCGATCTTTTATCTTTGAGCGTCCCAGAAAAAATAAGCGTTTAGTTTTCTTGATCCCTATTAAAGTATGGTACGTGGTATAGAGTTATTCTATCTTACTCTTTATTTAATTATTGTGAACTTGCTTTTGCCTTTATTTACGAGTATAGTGAGAATTGGACTTGAGGTGTACTGTCAGCCTTGACTTTTAGCTTTATTATTGTAGCTTCCTTTATAATTTTTGTTTTTGGAGGGGATGAGATGTTGTACCCTCGTATATTGACGTGTAACTTCGCGTGTAACTAGGATATTTACAGCGGTATCTCAGCTGATTGTTATGTGTTTATCTTCTTATCTTACTAAATACGTGTCAAGCAATGTTTACTTGGGAATCTTGTGGAGATTGTTTAGTTTCGGGATTAGGTTTTCCTTACCTCTTAATTAGGTTCACCACCCCTGAGGGGCTTTATTGGGTTTACTATCGTGTCACGTGATTAGGTCCTTATAGACCGCTTCCTTGTTGTATTCGGGGCCTTTTCGGTTCCACGTATTTTCACTTGGATTAGACTTATAACTGAGTATCACTTGTACTAAGACTAGTAAGGTTTAGTTAACTTACTTTAGTTCACATCCAGAAGCCTTCTCTAAGCCAAAATAAAGCCACTTTTTCGGGTAATAAAGAGTATATTGTGTGTAAAATTGACATTCCTAAACTTACTGAGCTTGACAGGCCGTAACTTAACACCAAACAACCAATATTCATTACTAACTATAACGCCTTAACTCTTAACTCTTAACTCTTAAATCTCCTCTTTCTCCTTCTTAATTGCTGCGTTGGCGCGTGTGCGTAGTTTTGTCATTGACAGCTCACTCGAAGAGAGTGTGTACTGTGTATATATAAAGTTATAACGTTAAACCTTGAAATTTGATATCTGCTAATCGGCCCTCTTGGGGTCTTCAAGTTCAACTTTCCAAACGAACATATACAGCTGTGTTGCCGTATGTATAGCTGTGTTGCCATGTGTTGCCATGTGTTGCCGTTTAACTACACTTTCATCCTTCAACGATGCAACACCTTTAAGCGTGCAACACACTGTGAAACACGTTTAACTACACCTTCAAGTGTGCAACACACTGTGAAACACGTTTAACTACACCTTCAAGTGTGCAACACATTTCCCCGACTCGTTGTACTATATTGTAAGCATCTCGTTTAATTTAGTTAATGTTGACGCTTTAAGATTTGTGAAATCGAGTGTTTGTACCCTCGTCGTCTGTATATAAGTATAACTTACTAGCTAGTTGATCTATGCTAGTTGATCGATGCTGTACCCTAATCCCCAGTGTATTGAAGTTAACATGAGTTACAGCGATTGATTCATAGCTTACTAAATTGCTTGATTTTGAACGGCAACTTTGTTAGTCACTTGCAACATTGTTACACTGGATTCGTTTATTGCTTTCGTTCTGATCGCTGCACCGCATATAATATATAATACATATCACATATGTAATATAATATATGTATACATATAATATAAGTGAATACTTGATCAATAATATAAGTAAATACTTGATGAAGGCAGTGAAATTATCTCTTTTGTAACTGTTTGGTGTTTGTTCGTTCATACTGAATGGGAAAGTGTTATCATTTAACATTTACCATCAGCTAATTGTTAGAATTATTATTAACATATTAACTTGTTGATAAATTACATAAACTTAATGATAAGACAATTGGTGTATTATTCTATTTTAAGCATATCAATTTATTTGTATCTTTCTAGGCAACAGGATGGCACATCCTGTGCTGAAAGGCTATCACCCAACGATAGAAAAACAACTTCTCAGCAATGAGGTTTTGGAAACTGATACCATGGATCGCCTTAAAGACGATTTTGAAGATGGTAAACTTTTAAGACTTAACTTAAAAATGATGTATAACACTTTAGATACAATTTTAAGAGTTTGAGTTTATATTTAGAAACTAACCATACTATCTTTTAGATTTATGTCACTTATGATGGCTCCAGCTGAAAGTACTATGACTGATTTTATTTAGAAGATCGTAGTTTCATTGCTTCTGAAGTAGCTATCAGTTCGCCGGTCATTGTTGGGTATAATACTCTTACAATTTTAAGATATTGTATTGAGATCTTGCGATGTGACCCACTTCCTTACTTGAACCCTCGATAACCTCCGATAACAGCCCCCCCACACCTTCAAATCCCGATAAGTATAATCCCATTAACCCCCGATAACATCCGCAGAGGATGTGGACCCTGACACACTGAATGAACATCTGCTCTATCGACAACCATTCGACCGTCAGAAACTGGTGAGACTTTCAATATTTTCATTTTAAACAAGAATTGCGCCCGTTGTTTCGTTTTGGCGGACGCTAGATTTCCATTTCACATTTACTATAAATTTAAGTATAAGCTCCAATCAGCTCACTTCAATCTTCATGATAATAATATTGATAAATTATGCATCAAATACGGGAAACACTTGAAATTCAGTTCAATTGCCGTAGAACTTAACTTGTATCTGTAATTCAAGAAATTATCAGCTAAGGTAAACTATACTCGTGTACACATCAATACACTACGCGTGCCACGTACAAATTGGGCGTATAACCTAATAGTAATATTATACATTACATGCATCATATACATTAAAACACAGTCGCGCCGCGCATTCTTAGATCACAGGCTATCTATTAGGGGGTGCACCATAAAAATAAACTTGCTCGGATTTTAAAAATTTTTGTACCATTGTTTTCTAGAGACTGTGAGAATTTTCACAATACCAAATTTGTCATACATTTTTGGAAAGATCAGTGAGTTTCGCCTAGGTGCCATATTTGATGGTGCGCGGCTTTTGGAGCAAAATTAGCTGTAAAAGTCGCGTAATTTGACCAAATTTGACCAAATTCGTTGATTTTTGTCGTATTATTTGGATTTATCTTCAGTTCCTTGAATGAGATCATTCTGAAAATTGGCGACGACCTTCCAATAGGGCTTTTACAACTGTCCGAAAAATTTGGTGGATATCAGAGTTGATATAGTGATCAAAATGGGGCAAAATACGCTGCTTTTAGCTGTAACATAATGTCTGATGGTTGGATATACTTTAAACTTTTCGGACACTTTCCTTGTAAGTCTATGAGTAAGCTTACCAATTTTTGTTGCAATCGGAGGTCGGGAAGGATACTTAATATCTATTTGTTTGAAGAAAATTGTGCTGGCCGAAATTAGCGCTAAAAAACCATCCTACAGTCGGCACGCGCGGCTCACTGTCGATGGCGCACTACCTATATCTATACATCACATCTCCGCAAGCAATCCTCGCGCGCGCGCAACTTTTTCGTCGCATGGTAACTAACGAAAGGACTGACGACATATTTAAACCCACCTATCTCGTTCTCCAAAATCCACGTTTTTCTGCAAAAACCTCCATTCGTAACCTTTCACTATTGCCTTTTTTCAAAAGGGTGAAAAGGAAAAAATTCTTATTTTTACATCAACTGTCTTTTTCTTTAAAAAGGCAATAGATGTATAGAAGTGAAAGGATTCGAGAATGGGTATAGTGGGTAGGTAGCTTTTTCGTGTCACGTGAGTCATGAATCGTGTCACAAAGGAAAACATGCATAACCCTCCGCATACGTTATTTTAATGCATATTCTCTGCGCGCAGAGCAGTTATGGTGTAGTCGCCATGGTTACCCTCCGTATACGTTTGTACGATTTGACGATTGATCGAATTACACTTTCGATTGCGCGGCGCCAATTGATTTAGATAACAAGCGATTTCCCGGATGTGTTAAGTAGCTCACGCTTTTCTTTACTTGATCATTGATCATGATGCAGAACAACATAGTAACTTCTCGTTTTGTTGTGAGTGCTTGATTTGTTATACGAAATGGACCATAAATGTTATTATGGGATGATAATTAATCACTCTACACTCGACTGTCACGTGACTTTTTCAACCCGTTCTCTAGCTGGTCCTGAACGACTATTCGAAACCCTAACCCTCTTATCTGATCCCAACCCTAACGCTAACCCAATCCTTAACAAAAGCATATGCCGAAACCCTAACCCTAACAAGAAATTAGACTAACTTCCTTATACGGTCATATCACGTGATCGAAACAGTTTTTCGCCTATATCTCGTCAGGGGAGCATTTTAACCCTATGTCATGGGGGGTGATTCGGAATCAGCGTCCGAAAATCCATATATTGAAGTTGGTTTCAACTGTCGGGGGCCCTTTTAGAACAATCTCGAAGATCGACTGTAGAGTGATTTAGTACGCTCGGTTATTATGAGTTGCATTACATACTACGGATTTCACGACTTTTAACTGCATATCACCACACAGGCGCAGGCGCTACGGTGTCCGGTCATTTAACTTTTTAAATTTGACTAATTGACAATGGCAACCCCTTCATTTTGTGTTCCGTAGCGCCCCAAGAATGGTGAATAAAGAACCATTATTTAATATTTTGACCAACATGAAACTATCGTTAATTTTAATTTTAAATTTTAAAAGGCATAGCAATCACTACGGTTGATGGAAATCTAGCGTCCGCTAACTGGCGCAATTCTTGTTATTATCTTTATTTTATTATTATTCATTTTTATTTGCTATATCATCTTAATCATATAATAAATGTCTACAGTTGGATTGTCCGAGCTGTTTTAATTATTTTATAATTTTCTAGAAGATTCAGTAAGATAAAACGACGATCAAGACGCCAGTGCATGTGTTTTTTAAATAGGATGATATAAGTATGTAACCCTCAACCAAGCCATAGTTTGAAAAGTGTCAAATTTCAGTTAAACCATTTCAACATAGCCGAACAACTAACTAAAGATGAAAGTGAAAGCGATCCGGACATTATGAAGCGTGTCTTACAATGCCTTGGAGATTTTCCTAAATACGAGAAATTGTAAGCATTTTATATCAATTTCGAGATAATTCAAAAGAGATTTTGAAAAGGCTTCTATAAATCTATATCTTGTATATCTTGTAAATGCTTAGAAAAAATACTTTGATAATTGATTCCAGATTCATCTTATCTTTTACTGCTCAGTTAAACAACTTTTTTATCATTATATCTTTCAGATTTTTAGCGGATATTCTGTCCTCCAACGCACGACACGAAGTCAAGTTTAGGTTCCTTGAAGAAGTGATATTTTCTAAATCATATCAAGTTAGTAAACATTTTTATTTTTCAACCCATCGCATCGCCTTTTTTGATAATTGTATTATGATTAACTTTTTCGAATAAATTTGTCGTTGGAATAACATTGTCATATTTAGTTAATTCCGGTTTTTTGAACATATAGGTAATATGTAACCATGATAATTTCCTTACCACTAACAATTTCAGTTTCTGGAACGTTTTGTTGAATCAGAGAGGACCCTTAACACGACAATTATAGACAATCTGTCCCGCAGTCCCGTAAATGGAAATCACAACATAACCAATGCGGTCCGAGCAGTTCTTAACATGGAAGATGGTGAGAACTTTTCTCCGTTTCCTCTCTCTTCGGAGATGTATGAAGTCTGTGAGGGAGGGAGAAGTTTAAAGTCCACGTACGGTAAGTGAACATCTCTATAAAATAGTTTAAAGTATTAACATTATAGCACTTTGATGGTTTTACTGTATAAACTCTCTAATATGCCGTGAAACTCTTTATACTGTAATTAATGTAGCGCCCACATGATGATAAATTCGCTGATGGTAATATCATATTGTATATCATACGTCCATGATAATGGATTTACATTAAATTCTAGCAACTTAAAATTCATACGATGCCCGGATCAGTCGTATTAATGAATCTATTGTTTACACTACTTTGTTTGTTGATTATTCGAATAATACATGTGATAATACGGTAAGATAACACCTACTATTGTGTAATAACAAAATAGCTGACCATAGAACGACCGGAATAAAGGTGATGAAATGTCACGATTTACAGGATTCATCTCAATAATCTGAACATTATCTTTCAGATTTATGCAGAGATAAGCCGCTTCGGCAAGTTTTCCTCAAGAATCTACTTCTCGAAGCTGACAGACAGAGCAATATTCCTTTGGTGACGAAGATTATTTTCTCTCACTGCTATGTATGTTCAAATAATTGCTCCAATTGAACGTTCAAAGTCTTGTCACAGTTACTCACGGACCATGGAAAATTAAATCCCTAAAACTGAACTATCAAACTTTCAATTTTGTAAAAAATCACTGCATTGATTTCTATTTTGAATCATTCAGTTATGCGGTCAATTGTATCATTATCATGTAACCCTGTTATTATTTCAGATCGATCTTAAAAGTATCTTGGACCCTGTTGTAGTGTCAGAGGAAAAAGAAGCGAGATTATCAGAACTGTTGGAGAACATTCCGGATCTATCCCGGATCAAGGAACTGGCTTGTCTTGATGAGATCGAAGGAGAACTTTTACAAGGATTAGTTAAAACTGCTGCTTTTGGCAGTGAACATTAGTTAAAGCTTCGATTGTTTCGGATTTGGCAAAGGGGAAATTATTGAATATTTACGATTCCATTATGCACGTATGAAGTAATTCTGGTACCATTTTAGATACATTTAGATAAAAGACGAGGGATCACATGATATTTTAAGATGGTATAATCGTGGTCTTACATTTTTATATTAAAAATTAGTTTTTAACCGAAAAAACACAACTAATATCTGTATAAAAGCATGCCTAATTCAAGTCTTACAATATATTTCCTGATTTTCCTCTGACTTGGATTGTTTTCTAATTCCACGAAAAGATAACAGTTTAAATATTTTTACTTACCATCAGCAATCTTTCATCTTTTTAGATATGAACGGTGATAAATATGATTTGAATGCAATCGTATGTTGAGCATACTTGTATATTTTTTAATTGAATAATTTTTAAATGAGTTTACTTGGCATATTACTTGGCAAAGTTACTTAGACTGAGTTTTTATTGATCAATTTGTGTTTGCAAAGTAACTGGATTATTTTAACAGTAACACTGTATTATTCATCCTGCTTTAATCTAAACAAAATACAACTTGCGTCTTTAAAATATCTAAAATCTTGAATATAATCATTGTATAAACCTTATATTTCCACCATGAATGGTCATGCAGTAACAATAACTCTCAAAACGTATATTTCATGGCGTGATCAAAGTGGCCTAACTACAAGACTAGACTTAAACATATTCGCAAGATACCATAAGATAAAATGATAAACCCTCGCCAAATTATATTGCTATAATACGATACGTTAACCTGAAAAATATCAATAACAAAACAACCTTTTCTAAAATCGCAGCATGAAATTTTCATCCAAAGTTAAAGATTTTGCAAATAAAGTTTTTGGTGACGAAGATTATTTTCTCTCACTGCTATGTATGTTCAAATAATTGCTCCAATTGAACGTTCAAAGTCTTGTCACAGTTACTCACGGACCATGGAAAATTAAATCCCTAAAACTGAACTATCAAACTTTCAATTTTGTAACAAATCACTGCATTGATTTCTATTTTGAATCATTCAGTTATACGGTCAATTGTATCATTATCATGTAACCCTGTTATTATTTCAGATCGATCTTAAAAGTATCTTGGACCCTGTTGTAGTGTCAGAGGAAAAAGAAGCGAGATTATCAGAACTGTTGGAGAACATTCCGGATCTATCCCGGATCAAGGAACTGGCTTGTCTTGATGAGATCGAAGGAGAACTTTTACAAGGATTAGTTAAAACTGCTGCTTTTGGCAGTGAACATTAGTTAAAGCTTCGATTGTTTCGGATTTGGCAAAGGGGAAATTATTGAATAATGAATATTTACGATTCCGTTATGCACGTATGAAGTAATTCTGGTACCATTTTAGATACATTTAGATAAAAGACGAGGGATCACATGATATTTTAAGATGGTATAATCGTGGTCTTACATTTTTATATTAAAATTAGTTTTTAACCGAAAAAACACAACTAATATCTGTATAAAAGCATGCCTAATTCAAGTCTTACAATATATTTCCTGATTTTCCTCTGACTTGGATTGTTTTCTAATTCCACGAAAAGATAACAGTTTAAATATTTTTACTTACCATCAGCAATCTTTCATCTTTTCAGATATGAACGGTGATAAATATGATTTGAATGCAATCGTATGTTGAGCATACTTGTATATTTTTTAATTGAATAATTTTTAAATGAGTTTACTTGGCATATTACTTGGCAAAGTTACTTAGACTGAGTTTTTATTGATCAATTTGTGTTTGCAAAGTAACTGGATTATTTTAACAGTAACACTGTATTATTCATCCTGCTTTAATCTAAACAAAATACAACTTGCGTCTTTAAAATATCTAAAATCTTGAATATAATCATTGTATAAACCTTATATTTCCACCATGAATGGTCATGCAGTAACAATAACTCTCAAAACGTATATTTCATGGCGTGATCAAAGTGGCCTAACTACAAGACTAGACTTAAACATATTAGCAAGATACCATAAGATAAAATGATAAACCCTCGCCAAATTATATTGCTATAATACGATACGTTAACCTGAAAAATATCAATAACAAAACAACCTTTTCTAAAATCGCAGCATGAAATTTTCATCCAAAGGTAAAGATTTTGCAAATAAAGTTTTTAAGGTTAAGGTATTGCAAACTGTTTTCTAAATGACATAAAAACTTTAATTGTCTCCCTTTAAAAGAACTCTACGACTTTAACGTCTCTAAAGTACTCTACGACTATAACGTCTCTAGGACTATACTCCGGGATCTTTAATTAAGCAAATAATAATAAGTTTACTAGAATGGATAATGGATAAGTATTATATCTATTTATTGTTAACTATTTCTAATGTTATTTGAAATTAGGCACTGGAAAATTTTCTGAAATTTAGTATGGATACACTGGGATGCATATCGTATTTAAACAACCCACCGAAATTCTAAATCAATCAACAAAAAAGTCATTAATCGGACGTCTTGAAGAAGTTTCTCGTTGGTCATACTCGCAGAAACCCCCACTCCAATCTCCAAACGTTGTTAATAAGGTATCTTAAAAGGGTTTGACAGGTTTATAGCATTTAGCCTGTTTCAAGAGATCTTGCAGCTCGCCCGTGATTTCCAGGAACTCCAAATCACTTGCTCCTCCGACAAACTTGCCGTTAACAAATACTCTTGGTAACTGAAAACAGTTGTTAGGAGATCAGGTAAATAAAGACCCGGATAATGCACCAATTTTTGAATCGAGAAATATATTTCTTAGGTGATTCTCATTTTTTATATCTTTTGAGTAATTGCAAAAGATTCATAAGGTTTGTGAACCATCTTGAAAATTTTTTTCATCCAATAAACCATTTCCAGGATCATGGATCATGAAAACGCAGACCGCATTATCAAAACGTATTTCTTGTTCTAATTCAAATTGGCAGTTGGTAGAGTAGTAATACGTAACTCGATTCTGCCATTCTAGACTAGTAGTAGTGATACAAAGTACTATTGCAAGGGTGGTAACCCTTTTGATGACCAGTCTAGAATAGGTCTTACTTGTAAAGTGATAGACGATAATATCAAATGTTTTACTTACACTTCTGCCATCAGATACCTCGAGGAAGTGATCTCTGATATCTTCCTCCGCCTGCAATCCGCTTATCAGTACACTACTCATCACCTTCGTCTTAACACCACTTCTCCTGGGGTTGAAAGATGATATCTCACTTGAAAGATGTTATCTCACTTGAAAGATGATATCTCACTTGAAAGATGATATCTCACTTGACAGATGATATCTCACTTAAAAGATGATATCTCACTTGAAAGATGATATCTCACTTGAAAGATGATATCTCACTTGAAAGATGATTTTCACTTGAAAGATGATATCTCACTTGAAAGATGATATCTCATTTGAAAGATGATATCTCACTTGAAAGATGATATCTCACTTGAAAGATGATATCTCACTTGAAAGATGATATCTCACTTGAAAGATGATATCTCACTTGAAAGATGATATCTCACTTGAAATATGATATCTCACTTGAAAGATGATATCTCACTTGAAAGATGATATCTCACTTGAAAGATGATATCTCACTTGAAAGATGATATCTCACTTGAAAGATTATATCTCACTTGAAAGATGATATCTCACTTGAAAGATGATATCTCACTTGAAAGATGATATCTCACTTGAAAGATGATATCTCACTTGAAAGATGATATCTCACTTGAAAGATGATATCTCACTTGAGTTTATATTATTTGTTAACCTAAACAATGAACTTACACACAAATCTTTAAATGGGTAGCATAATTCTTAATTTGCAGAGTAATACGTCACATTTCAAGCATTTTATACTACAATTACATTCTTAAACGTAGCAAAATCCCAGTTTTACAACCTCTAAGCGAATTATGATAATTGTTCATATTATTATTATATTTATATAAAGAGATAATTGAAAAATGAAACGATTTTTTAATTTGTCTCATATTATGAGACAAATTAAATTATCGCTCCATTTTTCATGAGCTATAACCACTTAGTCCCAACTTTCTTTTTTCATGACCCTAGCTGTAAGTAAGGGTTGCCATACCCCAGGAACAGCACCCTCATACTATCCTTTCGTGGGCCATTTTATAGGTCCAGCAGCTCTCTAAAATAATTAAAAAGTACCTGAGTGCAGCTAGTGCTCGGATAGAAAAGGGGTCCTCCGTCCCGACGAACACAACCACTTTATTTGAGCTCAATGATTCTCGTACGAACTTCCCGGCCGCTGACTCTGAATTGTTATCAATAAATCAGTTCGAATCATACTGGTGCTGTTTCTTATTGAAGAAATTGGAAAAAAGAAATTCACAAATACATGGTACTTTCAGTGGTCGAGACTTATTAGTTTACATAATTTAGAATATTACGATTATCAGAAAGTTCAGTGATGTCAACCGCTCATCGTGTGAATTAAATAGGGATTTCGTATATTGGTAATATTAAATATTCCACCAAGCAACAAAAAAGAATCGGAGACTAATCTTTTACCATTCACAGGAGATGCTCCCTTTTTGCAGCCTTTTGTTTTCTTTGGCATTTTCACATGGCAGGTTCCTTTTTAGCTGATTTGTAGTTTAATCATCGTATTACATCCCTCATTTCCTAGCAAAAAATAGTAATTATAAGAATGAGATTGTTATGTACTGAAATAATGAAATCAAAACTAACAGAAATGGAGTTGCAATGCCAAATTAAAAGCGTGCCAAGACAAAAATGTTTTGATTCATAGCAGAAAATAATTCGTTTGGTTACATTTTTGATAAGACTGAAAATAATACGAGATTCGGAATAAAGAAACTAAGAAAAATGACTGAAGTGTAAAAAGCGGTAAATTTGTATCCATCACAACGACTGATTGATTATGACATTTTAATATATTAACAGTGACTTGCAGCAAAATAAAAGACAAATAATGTGATAAGCAAATAAATGAAAGATAAGACTGTGGAAGAGTACAAGAACTTTTATATTCACACTGAAATAACATAATATGGGCAATTATACAGCTAATTAACCAATTATAGCACTTGCATATACAAATTATAAGCCAAATAACATAAAAGTGTTAATCAAATCATGTAAGTTATCCAGTGATCGTGAGCTAGGTGCACTAACGTCACCAACTTATACTGTAATATCCTGTAATTCAAGCCTACTAGGAATTTAGGAAACAATAAAGTGTTTTACGTTTATGAGGCATTGACATGAAAATACAGACCTACTACGTCATTTCACCAATTATTTTTTAAAAGTTGCAATATAGACTGGGTTATTAAACTAAGAACCTTTAAAAGTTTTTAAGTTTTTATTTTACCTATTATTCCTCAGAAACAACTGAAAGTTTTAGTAAAACTGACACTTAGTAAATTATTAAGCTTAATTCACCACTCCACTTATTTTTCTGTATTTACAAAATCTAGCAGCAAACCAAGTAAAATGTTTTTTTAGTTAACCTAGTAATAAAAAAGTCACTACAATTATAACCGACAAGGTACTTTCCCTAAACGCGGAACCTCCTCTGAAACTCGTCAGTGTAAAAGAACAGAAGGTACAATGAGTTCGTAACAGTTATAATTCTAGATTGCTGCAAAATCGGTAACTTGACCATGAACATGATAAATAAATTGAAAAGTGACGTGTAAACGTTTATGCGGTGGCGTCGTTAACTTTTTAACAACAAAGGCCTGTACCCTGTATAGCTTCCTAAGTCACACTCAGTCCTTAAATCAAGCTCACTGTTAACCCTGTACACTCAGTCCTTAAATCAAGCTCACTGGAATTAAACTGGAATTAAACTGGAATTAAACTGAAATAGTCAGAGGGAACACTAACGAACCCGTCGTGACAATACATCAATGAAATAAATAACATAATTATTAAAAAAATCATAAATAAGAACCAAAACACGTAAAAAAATTAACTTCACTACAATCTGTACGAAAAGGAAACAAGATCAAATATAATAATTTAACCGGATTAAAGTGGGTAATGCACCGATAAGGTAATAAATTATGCAGGAGAGGTTCATAAAATTCACAAAGTTACTCCAAAAGTCAAAAATACACTATCAAGAAAGATTACACACAAACTCAAAGACGGGCGTAAATTATGCAACTGTAACTCCGAATGAAAACAGTTCGAACACTCATTTAAGGGACACTGGGGTAGTTAGAATGTCCTTAAGACAGTGACTCGGAATCATTACCGGATGTGTTAGATCAAGTGGAAGACGATGTTGGTGTCTTTTTCGGATTTCTGATGCGATGACAGCTGCTGAGAAACTTGCCCAGTTCTTCTATGTGGGCTGAATTCATCATGTCTTTGTAGTTCCTGAGAAGTAAAAGCCGTTTGAGGTCATCTGAGAGAGAAGATCGTACTGAGTGGTACATGGGGCACTCAGTAAGGCAGTGTTCCTCGTCTTCAATAATCGTGCCTTCAAAGAAGGGAAGGTATTCGAAGCCGAGAACGTGATCCCTATCGCAGCAGAATCTGCATGCTCTTGGCCAGACTCCGGCCTCCTTCGTGTAACGCCCTCGTTCTATCATCAGGTCGTGGCTGCTGGAGCGGATTTTAGCTGTATTCGTTCGGAATTGCCTGCTCTTCAGATTGAGGTACTGCTCTTCTCCAAATTCCTCCTTGATTTGGTTGTAGAACTGCATCTTGGTTTGCGATCCCAGGTCCACCCTCCAGTCACTGATAAAGACATCCCTCATGGTGCCATGAGCTGCTTCTGTTTCATAATGAGCCACAGAGCTAAGTTTCTCGTACCAGGAGAGGTTAAGATTTTTCTGTTCCTGAAACGCTTGAGATACTAAAAAATTGACACTGTTCATCTCAGAAGAAGCTCCGGAAAGTCTTCCAAAGTATCTGAGGCATTGTGGCAGAACTGAGAGGGCCCAGGGCATCCTTCCTGTATCCCCGTAACAGAAGTTGTTGTTAGTTTTCTTGTGCACACCCAGTACCCATTTCAGCATTTTGAGGTGTGTTGTCTCAAGACTGTCTTTTGCTGCAACTTTTGATAGGTTGTGTCTTTGGCTGGGTTCACGCGCCATTTCTTTCATGAGGTGAGTCGAGGGTAGCCATATCTGACAGGCGTAAGTTGCTACCGGTTTCACCAGACAGTCAATTAGCTTTAGCATGGTTTTGGTGGTCAGAGCTCTGGTGTCTACCATGCGTTTTATCGAAAAGAATGCTCGAAGCGCCTTCTTCCTCAGTTCGTTCATGGCGCATTTAAAAGATCCATTGAGGCTGAGCTGGATACCTAGATAGCAGTAGGACCTTGTTGGAGAGATGTCGAGCTGTCCAAGCTTGAACCCGTACGAGCAGTTTAGCACCCGCGAGCTTGAGTTGAAGACCATTATTTTAGTCTTATCAATGTTGATAGATAGCTCCCATTTGCTTGCAAATTCATTTAGGCAGTCAAGCTCTTTCTGAAGGCTTTGGTGGTCGAGAGCTAAAAGGATGAGATCGTCGGCCCAGAGCAGGTGGTTGACTGGGAAGCCATTAAGTTCGGGGACAGAGAGATCTTCTAGGGCTGCTAGATAGATGGAGAGGTCGTAGATGTATATTTTAAACAATTCAGGAGACATTGGATGCCCTTGCTCTGTTCCAATGGTGACATCAATGGTCTCCGATAGTTTTTGGATCAGTTTGATGCGGGTCACCGAGTTGCTGTACATGTTCTTAAGGCAAGCGAAGAAGTTCCCTCCGATACCAAGGTGATTGAGTTTATACATGAGTGCTTCTCTGCACACCGTATCGAACGCTTTCCGGTAGTCAACAAAACAAGCAAACACTCTCTTTTTGAGCTTTTTCGTGTATTTCTCAATGATTGTGGTAATTGTAAGGATGTGATCCGAGCACTGTGCACCCGCTCTGAAGCCAAGTTGGTGGGGGAAATCGGGGCAGATAACTTTGCGGAAGTCGATAAGTCTTTCAAGGAGAAGAGAAGCAAATAGCTTCCCTAGACAGCTTCCAACAGTTATTGCCCTATAGTTGTCAGGGTTCTGTTTGTCGCCCTTCTTGTGGAGAGGGGTGGTTATCGAACAATTCCATGGGTAAGTCCCCTGTTCCAGGCAGCCGTTGAACAACTTGAGAAGAACTTTCCTTAGGCAAAGTTTGGAGTTCTTGAGCATCTCGTTCGATATTAGGTCCAGTGATACGCTCTTGTTGTTTTTGAGTTTGTTGATCACCTTTTCAAGCTCTTGTAGAGTGAACTCCATGTTAAGATTTTCCACTTCAGTTGGTAGGTCAGGGTGGCTGCTCCCATCATTGCTTGCGTTGTGGGCTTGAAGTTCACGGTGGGATGGATCCTTGCACTTTTGGTTGTAGAGGTCGTTGAAGAATTTGTGAAAAGCAAATAGGTCGTACAGATCGAACGTCTCAGGATCTCTACAGTGTTAACCCTGTACACTCAGTCCTTAAATCAAGCTCACTGTTAACCCTGTAGCGCCAGAAATGTTGTAAGACGGAATATCAAAAGTCAAACAGCTTCCTAAGTCACACTCAGTGCTTAAATCAAGCTCACTGTTAACCCAGTAGCACAATATCAACTGTCTCCAATCATATCAAAAATCAAACAGCTTCCTAAGTCACACTCAGTCCTTAAATCAAGCTCACTGTTAACCCTGTAGCTGTAAGACGGAATATCAACTGTCTCCAATCATATCAAAAGTCAAACAGAATCAAGATGTGATCAACAGTTCACTAGAAAGCAATGAAACATGAAACAATAAACCCACTGTATAGTGTATTTATAACTGTATAACTGTATAACTGACCTACAAAGTATCATAAGCACGTTATTTCTGCGATAATACATCACATCATGAAACTTAACGCACTATATAAAACATCGCACACGACACTAGCTCCCAAAACACACACACAGTCACACAATATGATACGATTGTAGTATATAGCGTGGTCATGTGACCTTACTAAACCGTGTGGACAAAGCAAGACTACTCTGCGGCTCAGCTATCAGGTTACTAGCTCTATTTCTCACGGAGCCGAACTGGAAAATAAAGGAGATGGTTATAGCTTTATGGTATAAACTATGTTCGAACTGAACTGCAAAATAAAAGAGTTCCGAAAGAAGAAAAATAATTGAAAAGAAACTTTTGTTGACGCTAAAATGTAGTAAGACCCTCCTCCTATACCCAACCCGCCCCTCTCTACCCTCAACCCGCCCCTCTTTCTACCCTCACTACCCTCAACCCGCCCCTCTTTCTACCCTCACTACCCTCAACCCGCCCCTCTCTCTACCCTCAACCCGCCCCTCTCCACCCTCAATTCTCCCCTCTATCTACCCTGAACCCGCCCTCTCTACCCCTCACTACCCTCAATCTGTCCCTCTCTACCCCTCATAACTCATTACCCTCAACCGACCTTCTCTCTAACCCTTACCATACACCTTACAACGGGGCCAAATCAAGAAAATCGTCACTCCTGTTCGTGTACAAAGCGCAAGGCAGAATCGCAAAACATCTGTCAACTGTAATGTAATAAAACTGCTACGTAGGTTTAAAAATTATATATAGCAAAAATTTAAAACCAAAGTGCATGTGCGACACACACATGGGAGAGACAAAGCATAAAACTGAAGCAGCAATAAAAGC